TTCCATAATTCCATGGCTAAGTAAAAATGACCCTGGAGGAGTTTCTTCATCCCCAAAAAATATATATGGAATTGCCTTTTCCATTTTATATGGAGAAACAAATAATTCATGTTTGGAGTCCCTCCCCCACCCCAGCAATATGAATGCTTTCTGTAAACTGTATAAAGAAAAGCATTAACATGGAAAGTAGCATAACTTGCTGCTCTATTAGTGCAACTATTGGGATAAATGATGCACTCATTGGGCATTGTGAAGTATATTCACAGAGAACTATTCTTATTTGTGAAACGGGCTCGTTGCCAGTGTTATGGGCTCTACCGTCACCGATGATCCAACCTTCAAATCCTTGCAGAAATTCATCCATGCACTCGTGGCTCAAGCTACACAAGAAACACTCTCCCTTAGACCTGGCAATCGGATCTTCCGGTTTGGATTTATTTAGTTTGGATATCTATCGGATAGTTCCATCTTCTCCGGTGGAGCCAAATATTCACTATTATTTGGCTCTGGAGTAAGATGGAGTAAAGCAAAATAGCTCTTAAACTATCTGTGCTTCTTTAGTTCTTTTGATAGTGGAGTAACAGTTAGTCAATGCAACTTTCGACTCTCATCATGGGTCATCTGGAAACAACTGCTCTGTGTTTTAACATAGGGGCCACTCTGCGTACATCCAACCCCCTTACCTCACAATGAGCGGGAGCCTTTGAGGCATTAGGGTAATGTTGTTGTTGTTGGATATCTACCAGATATGTGTTATAATCGCTTCGGTTTGACTGATTTCTGTTTAATTTCAGTTTGGATTTAATTCAACTTCGTATAATTTTGGGTTTCTGTTTGGTTCTGGATCGATTCGGTTGAATCTGGCTCATTGCGTCTTATCTTTTTCATTGTCTCCCTTTTTCATTTCAGTTAGATGGGTTAAAATGAGTCTTATCTTTTTCATTGTCTCCCTTTTTAAATCTGGCTCAATGCTAAGTACTAACTAAATCATGTTCAGCTCATAGTGATAAATTCCACTAGAGAATGTCATGGTGATTAGCTTCAAGATTGCATGTGCTACCTCGTTTTGTGTTTACATGATTACATATTAAATCTGAATGCAATTGGTTTGCATAATACTTCCTTAATCCCAAAATGAATGCAATTTGGGTGTAAGTATCAAATTTTGACCATTTATTTCTCTTTATGTATAAACACAGAAATATACTTTTGTTACCTTTGTGATGAAAAAGAGTTTCATAATTTATACTCCGTATATTTTATGATTTTTGACAGTCAGGGTTTCGTATGACTTTTCGTTGAGGCTCAACATTATGGGACATAAGGAGTAAATAGTTTAAAAATAATAATTTATTATGTTCTGATTTGACATAGGAGAGGGATCCTATTGAAGGACCTGTACCTCGCTTGGATACTCGCTTGTGCATGTTATTCTCTATCACAACACTCGTGATATCTGATATTATTGAGGTAGAGGAAAGCAAGGAATCTGATGGGATTGAGCACAATACGAATGGAGGCTTTGAAAAAAAGGCTAGTGGACAATGTCGTATGGATTTTGTCTCTAGTTTGCAAACGCTTGCTGGCTACCAGAGCTTGCTGAATCCACCTGAGGCAGTGCGGTCTGCAGCCAACCAGGCAGCAGCAAAAGCAATGGTGTTTGCATCAGGCTTCAACATTGGCAGTGCATCTTTTGAGAGTATCAGCCTTACAGATATACCTATGGATTATTGTAAGTAATATTTCTACTCAACTCTCAAAATATATGAAGGGTAACACCTGCAACCTATCTTGTGACTTATGTTTGGCTGTGGGAGACTATTAGATGGTTATAATAGTGATATTCTAGGTAGCTTATAGGAGTTTTAAGGGCTCAACATGATTTCCATTGGCACTTGTGAAGTCTAGTATTTACTAGAGTGCATACAGTGGGTGCAGTTTCTGATATGGAGTCTATTATCAGGGAAGCTTTGAATTTCAGAATGTAAAAAGCTTGTTATATACGGAGTAATTCATAAGACATTGCATTCCCAATTACCTTTCCTTTCCCCATGTATGTATGGTATATATCTGTATACCACAGGTGCTACAGTATTCAAATGCATCACTTCTAATATCATCATCATCATACCTTGTTCAACTTGTTAATGATGTCCTTTAATCTCTTGTTCATGTCTTCAAGAGGATCCCTGACAAATAACGACACACAGTGTAAGTTTTCACACACCGTCCTTACAAGGACTCACAACCCTTATACAATGTCTTGAGAGGTCATATCCTCATAGACATTTAATATTGCCAAGTCTATCCTCAATGCTCATTCCAAGTTTTGTATGGCCTACCTCTTCTCCTGGAATGCTCTACCGAAAGCCTATCTACCGTCCTCAATAGTGCCATTGCGTCTCTACTACGGGAGTGACCAAACCATCACATTCTGCCTCCTATGTTATGCGTAATCGGCACTACCTCACTTAAACATTCCTCATTTGGTATTCTGTTCAACAAAGTACCACCACAAATCTACCTCAAGATCCCCATTTCCATAACTTCCAACATCCGCTCACAAGCCATCTTTATTGCCCAATAGTTAGACCCATAGAACATAGTTGGTCGAATGACAACCATATGGAATTTACCCTTCAATTTCAATGAGGCCTTTTTATAGAGCACTCCCAAGGTGGTCCTCAACTTTAACTATGTCACATTGCCCTTGACCTCTCTTCTTAAATACTTACGGGTCTATTTGGTGAGCGAGTGAGATATGGATTCTGATATCTCCAGATATCGAAACCCTTTTGTGGTGTTTGGTGAAGCTTAAAAATGTTAGAGTTTGGTATCTCCCGATATCACAACCCTTCAAAAGTGGGGGTGTTTTGATATCTCCTGAATTTTGGAAATATGAATCCGAGGTGTTTTGATATCTTTTAGTTTCTTCCAGTTTTTTGTAGTTTTTCCAGTTTCTTCCAACTATTCTCATTTTCTTCAAACTCTTTCTACTCCCCAAACAATTACTCTAAAAACGATGTATTTTTAACGTGACTATTATTATTATTATTATTATTAGTATTTTCTTCATTATTATTATTATTACAATTATTATCTTCATAACTATAGTTTATAAATTATTTCATTTTTTTTATCCAAAAAGAATAGAGAAAAAGGAAAATAAAGAGGGAAAAGGAAAAAAATGAGCAAAAAAATGCCAGAAAAAAATGAGCAGAGAAAAAAGGCCCCTTACCTTTCCCTTTATTACTCAATTTTTACTCATTATTATTTATCTCAAAAAATTAATTTTTTTTTTTCATTTTCCAAATTTTTTAAAATAATTTTTAAAGTCAAAATATTTTAGAGATAAAGATTCAACTAGGAGTAAAATATTAAATATGTACCAAAATAGGAGTTCTATGTTTTTTATTCCCAAAATAGGAGTTACAATGCAAATCAATGTCAATCATAAAAGAAAAAAAATTGATCACATTATGTGGCAGATCTGATATTTAAAACAAAATCTTGTAATATATAAAGTGTAATATTACAAATGTATTATTTTATAATAAATATTGCATGAATAAATTGAGGTGCAACTGTGCAAGGTAATCACAATAACTTTTAAAAATTTCACATTTAATATTTATGCTAACTTTATATTCTAATTAATATTTTTTGTGAAAGTAGATTTTTTTATGTATGAAAAATGGCAATACTGTTTTTATCTTAAAGACATTGATCAAGATAACGTAATTATGAATATAATAATAATTATAATAATAAATTATAACAACAACAATTAGAATGAGAATAATATAAAAAATACACTTAAATAAATTTCTTTAATGTTTTTTTAGATTTTCCAATTTGTTTCAGTTCCTTCCAGTTTTTCCAGTTTCTTCGAACATCCAGTTTTTTTTTTCCAACCCTAAAGAACAGGCGGGAGTTGGATGTAGCGCCTCATTCAGACTTGATCCTACACATCGGTCACAGCTGTCAATTTCTTTTTCTTTTTTCTTCAATTTTCACCATTGTAGGACAAGCCAACTGAATTTTGCTATATCCAATGGATTTCCAAAGAAGTCAAAATTCTTGTCACACAAACTTCATCAATTACCTTGAAGCAGGGCTTGACGCGAAAACACTAACCATTACTGGAGAAAGTGGGGAACCCTCCATAAATGATGACCAGCCAGGCTCATGAGTAGGCAAGCTGTGTGGCAACTGATTAATTCTTCCATTTATATAGCCGGGCCAAAAATAAACAGATGTATCCAGTAGCTTCCTGGCTATGCATGCTTCAACTATCATTGAATTTTCACCATTTGTGACCCATTGGATTTATATAACTAGTGAAAGCATGAATATCATCCTTAAACTGTAAGGATTAAATCCTAACCTTTTCGTAACAATGGATGGATTGTTCGAATGGATGATACATATATAATTTTCCCACCATAATTCGTTTGCATTTAAGTGGAGATGTGGTGTCGTATGCACTTCGCAACCTAAAGGTTGAAATATAGTTCACTCTTTTTTCTTTTTACATTTTATGTCTCTATTCGTTGGGATTTTAACATTTTTTCCCTCACTTTGCTTGCAGCTGGAAACCTGCACCATTTGATAGTTGAAGCATGCATAGCCAGGAAGCTACTGGATACATCTGTTTATTTTTGGCCCGGCTATATAAATGGAAGAATTAATCAGTTGCCACACAGCTTGCCTACTCATGAGCCTGGCTGGTCATCATTTATGGAGGGTTCCCCACTTTCTCCAGTAATGGTTAGTGTTTTAGCGTCAAGCCCTGCTTCAAGGTAATTGATGAAGTTTGTGTGACAAGAATTTTGACTTCTTTGGAGATCTTATACTTTTCTTTTTAAAAAACTTCAAAACTCAGTTTAGTTATCTAAAAACACATTGATTTTTAGTTTTAGCTGAAAAATTTAGATAATACCAACCAGACCCACTAAAATTTCCTAGAGTATACATACAAATCTATTTCGTCTCTTAAATATGCAACAAAACATTATTTTATTAGTTCTCGTGTTCTATAGTCATTTGGCCTGCTCTTACTCATTATTCTTTAGAGTGGGGTCTATCAGGTGAACCTGTTTTCTTTTATTGATTCGCAAGGGTAAAGTAACTAAATTTAAGCTCATGGATTTGTTGGAAGCATTGTGGAACTTGAGAAAATCTTTGAAATGGCGGTTAAAGGACCAGATGATGAGAAAACAGCTGCTGCTACAATTTTTTGTGGTGCCTCGTTACTTCGTGGTTGGAACATACAGGTTACTACAACAGTAAAGTGATAACAATTTTGAATTCTGAAAAAAAGAAAAGAGATGTTAGTTTTACAAATTTTGGATTTACATATGAAATCACCAAGTTGACGAAGAATTTATACTCTGAGTATGGTATTTTGTTTCAAAGGTGTCTCCTAATTAATGCATTCAACTAACTGCGCAGGAACACACTGTCTACTTTATAACTAGGTTGTTGTCTCCTCCAGTTCCTGCAGAGTATTCTGGAAAAGAGAGCCACTTGATTTCCTATGCACCAATGCTGAATATCCTACTAGTTGGGATAGCACCTGTAGACTATGTGCAGATATTTTCTCTTCATGGCATGGTATGCGAAGTTCTAAATAAACTTTTTCTTTCATTGGGTGTTTGGCATTGGAGGGTTGACAAAGAACATTTTTATATAACATGTAAGTTGTACAGAGTAAATCATTGTTTATACATTTTTATGAATGCTCAAAGTTTAACTGGGAAAATCCCAACAGGGCGAAGGGAGTAATTTTATGGTTTTAAAAAATTAAAATACTAATTATTTGAAGTTAGCATATTGGTCAGATTCCATCCTGATGAATGACACAAGAGCCCGATGAGATGTGGCCAATACCAAGACTCGGGCTGTCCTTCACCACACGGAAGCTTAACCACTCCAAACTGTACACTGTACAGCCATCCATTTCCCCCGGAGGAGACCTTCAAAGTACCCAAGGGATGGGCTACTAGTTGCAGCAAAAAACAACCAATGAAGACAACTATACTAGGAAAATAATGAATACAAGCAATTTAGGACTATTACTATCCTTTTTTACTGAAAGAAACTAATGAGTGGTTCAGGAGATACCTAGAGACCAAGTGAGTCCCAGGGAGAGTCTGGATACATAAATTTGAAATCCGTTCGTACTCTAAGAGGTAGGGTAATTAGGGTTTAAATTTTTTCCCCCTGAAGTGGAACAAATCAATTTCAAAATGCAGAATTTTTAGAGTTAATTTTGGATGATGAGTGTAAAATACAATACAGAAAATGATTTGTGTAAATAAACGTGCTCCATATTTTATGCATGTTTGGAATCTCTACCCTAGTACCAAAAGGCCCCCACTTTGAGATTTGGCAGTTCTCTAGTAGAGGCTTGAATTCCGTAAACCACGAAGCCATTGGGAAACAACTCTTCCCGCTACATGCATAAGTTTCGCAGGTTCACTAGCAACCTTACACGGAGATTTCACCGGCTGTGGATTTCAGGGAAATGTCATCAACAAACTATCAAGTTCTTTCAATAACATGGATTTTGTACATGGCTATCATTAACGTCTCTTAAGAATTTCAAAACTAAAGAATCGGATTCTTCATATCCTAAATTGAGTTGGATGGTCAAGTACACTTGCACTATTTGAAATGTTACAAAGTAATCTTATAGATTATGGTGCACATAGATATAAACATAATCCCCAAATTGTGTGCATAAGTGTATGAAGATTTGCAGAAATATTGCTTTTAAAAAGCTAATGGAAAATATTCAGAACTAATTGTAAATTTGCAGAAATTTTAACGACTCAAACAGCTGAGATGGTGGAAATTGTTGTCATTTATTTTAGTGTTTAAATGGTGTATTTATAGTTGAAAGACTGATTTTGAAAAACACCAGTTGCTTCTAACTTTATTTGGGAGGGGCTAATGAGAAAGTAATAACTGAATAAACAGTCAAAAAGTAATCCGATACTGACCCTAACCCTAGTTGTGTTTGTGTTTGCACCTGCTCACCAGTACTCTTATCCAAGTATAAGTAGGTGTCGTGTGCACGCGCTTTAGTCTTTTAGAAACTTAAATAAATGAGTTCTTTGAAAAGGTAACAACCAGTTCATAAATTATTTTGCTCTTTGATACAGGTTCCACAACTTGCTGGTTCTCTGATGACGATCTGCGAAGTATTTGGGTCGTGTGTTCCTAATGTCTCATGGACACTGCCTGCAGGAGAGAAAATTACAGCTCATTCTGTTTTTTCAAATGCATTTACTCTACTTCTAAAGCTGTGGAGGTTTAACCATCCACCAATTGAGTACGGAGTAGGGGATGTGCCACCCGTGAGCTGCCATTTGACTCCTGAACACCTCTTACTAATACGTAATTCTCATGTATCATTGTGTGAAAATGTTGTAAAGGAACCTCATAGAAGGAGACTCGCAGCTGTTGCGAGTTCATCCTTTCCCAACCCAATATTTATGGACTCATTTCCTAAACTGAAGGTATGGTATAGGCAGCATCTTGCATGTATTGCTTCGACTCTCTCTGGACTTGTAAATGATACCCCTGTCCACCAGACCGTTGATTTACTACTCAACATGATGTTCGAAAAAATTAATATGGGGAGCCAATCTCTGAACACATTAACATCTGGTAGTAGTTCTTCTGGGTCCACAAGTGATGATACTTTCCCTAGGCCTAAATTACCTGCTTGGGATATCCTTGAAGCAGTTCCCTTTGTGGCTGATGCTGCTTTAACAGCTTGCGCCCATGGTAAACTCTCTCCTCGGGAACTGTGCACAGGTTAGTTAGATTTGGCTACTGCACATTTTCCTGCTTGATGACATGAAAGTTTACAAGCTCATTACTCTCACATAAGAAAATTTGCAATTCTTTTTTAAAAAACTTGAATTTGTTGACATAAGGGACATTAACTTCTTCGATGTGAATGTCCAGTGCCTAAGGATTTAGCTGTGGATAAATAAAGTTTTGCCTGGGCATATTGTTGATGCCCATATCAAGTTCCTTTCCTTCTTACACTTTCAGGGCTTAAAGATTTGGCCGATTTCCTTCCTGCATCCTTGGCAACCATAGTCAGTTACTTCTCAGCTGAGGTTACACGTGCCATCTGGAAACCCGCTTTTATGAACGGGAGTGATTGGCCAAGTCCTGCTGCAAATCTATCGAGTGTGGAGGAGCAAATCAAGAAAATCTTGGCTGCCACTGGTGTGGATGTACCAAGCCTTGCTGCAGGTTATTATTACACTTATGAAATTATTGCGTATATAATTTTTGAATTTTGATTAGTGCACAAAATTTAAAAAAGAAAAACTAACAGTGAGCATTTGATTTAAAACAAACCAAACAAACCCAGTATGTCCCACTCAGACCATACCTCTACTTCAAAGAGTAGAGAGGTTTCCAAGAGGACCCCAATGAAATTTGATGCATTCTTTATGCAATGTTTACTATGTCTTCCCTTAGCTAGAGCCATTTCTAGTCTTGGATTATGATTATTTATCAATGCTTGCACTTGATGCATTTGTTCTTTGACTTCTTTTTTGGAAAGTTTTTTCCCCTTGTAATACGTGTCATGCTTAGTTTCAACTTTATTTAAAAAAATCTCACCCTTTTGATACACGTCTCTGATTTGTGCTTTATGGTTTCTAGGGGGAAGCTCTCCTGCTACACTTCCACTGCCATTGGCTGCTTTTCTCAGTCTGACAATAACCTATAAACTTGACAAATCTTCACAACGTTTTCTCAATCTAGCAGGCCCTGCTTTAGAGTTACTTGCAGCCGGCTGTCCATGGCCATGCATGCCGATTGTGGCATCTTTATGGGCTCAAAAAGCTAAACGCTGGAGTGACTTCCTCGTGTTCTCTGCATCACGCACCGTGTTCCTTCACAGCAACGATGCTGTTGTGCAGCTTCTCAAAAGTTGCTTCTCTGCTGCCATTGGAACAAATGCTTCTCTCTCAAGCAATGGTGGCGTCGGAGCCCTTCTTGGGCTTGGGTTTGGATCACATTTTCAAGGCGGAGTCTCTCCTGCTGCCCCTGGCATCCTGTATCTGCGAATCTACAGATCCCTAAGAGATGTCATGTTCTTGAGAGAAGAGATTCTTTCTGTGCTGATGCAATCGGTGATAGACATAGCTTTTAGTGGTCTACCCGGAGAGAGGTCAGAAAAGTTGAAGAAAGTGAGAAATGGAATGAAGCACGGCAGCGTTTCTCTAGCAACAGCGATTTCTAAAGTGAAAGTTGCAGCTTCCCTCGGGGCTTCTTTGACATGGCTTTCAGGGGGAGTTGGGCTTGTCCAATCATTAATCAAAGAGACATTGCCATGTTGGTTTCTATCAGTTCATGCGTCCGACCAATCAGAGTCAGCTGGTATAGTTCCAATGCTGAAGGGATATGCGCTTGCATACTTCACCATACTCTGCTTTGTTTTTGCTTGGGGCATAGACTCATCAACTTCGGCATCATCAAAGTGCCGTCCCAAAGTTCTATGCCATCATATAGAATTCCTGGCAAGTGGTCTAGACGGCAGGACCTCACTTAGTTGCAATCAGGCTACTTGGCATGCCTACGTGTCCGGATTTTTGAGCCTGGTGGCACATCGCATGCCAACCTGGGTGTCTGAGGTGAATGTAGAGCTGCTAAAGAGGCTGTGTAAAGGGCTGAGACAATGCAATGAGGGAGAGCTTGCCCTTGCTTTACTTTGCGCTGGTGGGGTACGCTCAATGGGATTTGCCGCAGAGTTGATTATAGACGGCCTATAGTCCCAGGTTTTGTAGATTCACTTGTTCTAATATGCTTAGTGTTTGTACATCTAAAAATAGTGTGTAGTGCACATTGAAACCTCAGGTTCTCTCTAATGGCATTGTTGTTTCTGTGAAGCAAGCAGTGAAAACCTTCTGCAACACTTTGGGTGTTTTCAATTAGCAATGGCTAGTAGTGGATTATATGAGTTGTTTGGGTGGGGGTTCTTTTGACATCATCCACCAATGTCATAATATGACATCGGTTCATTTGGGACACCTACGGTGTCCCGTTCGGAGTAATATATAAGCAAGTCATCCAACTCATAATAATAAAAATCATGACACCAGAAATTTTCTTGGAACCTTTTATGAAGGTTGAGAAATAAACACATATGAAGTCTGAAAAAAATACAACATCAATGACAACAACCCAGTTGGAACCCACGAAAAAACTACAATTTTAATGTTAAAATTTACTACATACTCCGCATATGATATGGTATTTAGATAGAAAGAAGAAAAAAACCATCCAACTAACGTATATAAAAGTCATCATATCATTTTTGAACTCTGGTAACCAAAATATTATGCCGGGCGCTTTCCATGATCAACTTATTGTTTGAACCTCACCACCAGAAGCAGAGGCGTTCGCAGAGCCTTTTTATCAGTTAGTTGATAGAGGGCGGTGCAGAAGCACAAGTCCGAGCAGCTGCAAAAACACTTATATTTTCAATTAAACCAAAAATGCTTGGGGTATACCAAGTTATACACCATTCTTCACACCACGACACATTTCTTATTCAAGATTCAATTTTTGGAATCCTAGATAAGAAATGTGCAGCGGAGAGATGGGCGGTATACAAATTGAGGTACAATTTGGTGTACCTCAATCATTACTCTAATTAAAATTTCCTTTTAATCTTATTTACTATTAACTTATTAATCACATTATATCTGTTTACTACGGAGTATTAATCTATCCATATATATTCACTATTAATTTATATACCATATCTTATCCTATCCTACACCTACTATGAAGTACTAGCAAAATTGATATGTAACACAAAAATTAAACATTTCTTAAATTCCATCTTTTTCTAAAGTGAAAAAATTTTATGGGTTATGCTGTAGTTGTTGTATTCCCTCCGTCCCAGAAAGAATGCCAGAGTTACTATTCTGGCCTCTCGATAACTTTTGTTTATTTACTCATTTTGGTTGTCCATTTGATAAAATAAAATATTCTTGTCGCATCTTGTCTTGTAGAACTTTTCATATACTTTTGAATGGTGTAATTCTTACTTTTTATTACTCTACCAATTTGAAATTAAAGTGATTTTAAAAGAGATAATATTTTATACGTCGTTCGAAGTGTTGGAAATAAATTGGGACGGATTGAGTATTTATGAATTTCTCCGATGGTTAAGTGTGAGAAAATTATATTTTACCAGCATCCTTTTGGCTTGCTTCTCCCAAACGACTCCCCGTGCTTCTTCATTGAGTTAGCAGTGGGATAACCTTCAAGTTTCCATTCCAATACAGAAAAAAAAATTAAAAAAAGAGTCTAAGAGCCAGGCATGTGGACGCACATGACAAAGTGTGGTGATGGATAAAACAAAGTGCATTGTCTTTTGTTCCAAAACTAGTTTGCTCGGATTTAAATGTAAAAATAAATAATGAATAAAGGGATTTAAAAAAAAAATGTCACAAACAAAAATAAAGGGATAACAAAGTCATCTGTTTCGATTTATGATGTTTGTCAGAAACAACTCTTTGGTACTCCATCGATTGCAATTTCAATCGATTGTTTCGATTTTGGATGTTTGACTAGAGTTATTTTTAATGCAATGCAATATTAAAGAATTGGGGCAAAATTAAAGAATAAAATTTACCTATTGAAAAAACTATATAAAAAGATCTACGCAACAAGAAGTAACATGACTATATTAGTCTGTCAAATGAGTAACGGAAATAGAGAAAAAAAGTGAATGAAGTTTTACTCTGAGAACAGTAAAACAAATAACTTAATTTGGGAGGGAGGCTTCCAGGAAAAATATTTTCTCCCATGAAGAAGAAAATGATTTCCATTTGCTTTTGAAGGTACTCACCCCTCGCCTTCGCCTTCGTCCCCCACCCCGTCCGCCCCCGCTACACCCCCAGTCCCAACCCTTCTCATTTCACCCCGCCCCGACCCCCTACCTCTCGCCATCCCCACCCTGCTACTCGCCGTCAACCCCCACCACGCCATCCCAACCTTTCCCCCCTCCTGCCATGCTACTCCCCTCCCCTCCACAAGCACCCCGCTTGCCACTCCTCTTGCCAACTCGTACCATGCCACTAAAATAGTTTAGAATTATCCTTAAAATATAGTTTTTAAATATTGTTTAAAATATCAATTTTAAAATCTTAATAATTATAACATCAATTTTAAAATCTTAATAATTAAATTCCTTTTTTGAAAAAAATAATTTCCTTGCTACTAAACAATAAAAAATGTTGGAGGAAAATAACTTCTTTCCTCCAGAAAATATTCTTTTTGAAAAAAATTCATTTAACCAAACACACCCTACAATGTTAAGTGTATTTAAAAAAAAAGAAAAAATGTTTTTTTTCTATACCTTTAGGCCACTCAGAGTCGATGATGATCTTGGCTTCTTCCATTCTTATAACCACTTGATTAAGTTTGGTATTCAAGTGAATTGGTTATTGTAATATATTCTCATCATCATATATATAGTAATATATATGTATATATATGTATATATATATATATACGGAGTATATACGTTCGGCTATATATATTTACACGAATACAATAAGTATAGCGTCCTCATTGCGGGGTTTACAATAAGTATAACGTTAGCATTACGGAGTTCATTTGTTCTCCGTCTCCTCAGAGCATAGCGTAGAAGGACTGCAGTTTGCTTCAAATTAAATAAACTTGCACTCAATAGTCAATATACACTCTTCAATCTTCATCTCAAATTAAATTTGATTGTGTAATTTTACGCGGGTGAAAAATTCAACTCATCCAGAGAGAGGATCATGTCATGTTCAAAGATCCTGGGTCAAATCGAATTCCGGCAACAACAGTGCGGGAGTTCTATTCTTTAAAATAGGTTTTTGTGCGGACCGGACATGAGGCGACTTCTCCAAAGACCAGATTAATATTATAGGATGATTTACCTCCTATCACGTCATATCAAATGTAAGGGTGCCTGGGCATTCCATTTTTTAACATGTTGAAAAGTGGAAGGTATTGGGTAAAAGTCAAAAGTGGTTAAATGTCTTTTTGAAATATATGTTCTCTAGAGTCTAGACTTCTCTCTCTCTCATTTTTAAGTTTTCACTTGCCTCAGAATAGGTTATCATTTCATTCGAAGAATAAATTATGTGACAAGAAACGAAAAACATACAACAAAAATAAAAACAAACATCCTACAACAATTGAACTGGGTACCTACAGTATCCCGTTTAAAAAATTGATGGCTCCTTCTCCCTAATACCCCCTAAACCCCCATCCAGCCTCAAGCCCCCTTTCTCTCAACCCATCCCCCTTTCACCCCCACCCCTCCCTTAATCACTGTTTTGGCAAGGGGGTAGGGGTGCAGGGGGGATTGGGGTGGGAGTAGGGGGCGAGGGCTGGGTGGGGCTTTAGGCGGATTGTTAGGAGAGAATGGACCATCAATTTTACAAACAAAACATCGTAGATATCCCAATTAAATTGTTGTAGGATTGTTGTATATAAGTATTGTAGTAAGAATAGTCTCCCCCTTATGTGACTCATATTATTTATTGTATGTGCACATGCAAACTTTAATCACATACTTTTAATTTTTTAAAAAATAAATTGTGAAAGCCAAACATGAAAAATAGGGTAAATTTCAGTAATGGTACCTGAACTTTCACTGGAATTTCGAAATGGTACCTGAACTTTAAATTCTTTTACAAAAGTACGTGAACTTACATAGTCCATTCACTAAAAGTCCATTTACCCGTTTCCAGGTTAATTTCCGGTCATTTGAGGTAAATTAGAATTTTATACGGAGTATATTTTAAAATTTTCAATTTCACCTCATTTCTTTTTCTTCTTCTTCCCCTCCCACTCCCTTCTTTTTCTTCTTCTTTCGCCCCCTTTCTTCTTCTTCTTCTTCTTCCTCACCCCACCCGCACTTGCTTCTCTGCACCAGCTCTTTCCTAAAACCAAAGAATCGCAGCAACATCCCCGCACCACAATATTCCCCTCACCAGATGACCCGCCGCACTCCTCTCCGCCTCCTCCTTCTTCTCCCTCCTCTCCATCTCCGCCGGAGAGACCTCCTTTGCCGCCCCTCCCCAACTCACCGCCGGCGACTTCTCCGCCCTGAAGGCGTTGTACTTATCCAACCCTCGGTCCAGATCTCTCAGCTTCCCCTCCTGGCTCCTTCCCCCTGGCGGCAACGGTCAGGCCGTAATTGAGCATGTTCTCCGAGGAGTCGATCATGATCTCCCTCTCGTCGTCATCGAATGCGGCTCCCGCGCCCGCCAGAGTCTAGAGGGTGAAGAAGTACTGAGAGTCGTCCATCTTCACGGTGACCTCGTCTTTGGCCAGGGGCCACTGTATGCCGCGACCGACGCGGGCAAGAACGGCGACAACGTTGTTGTCCTGTTTGAGCCGGACGAGGTTGAACTCGCCGCAGGCAAGCTCGACGCTCGGTCTGTATCGATCAAGTGAACCATGGAGCCGTGGATTCGAATTATAACTTCCTCGGATGATCCAAAACTGGAATTGGACCCCGACATGTTTGGGCATGAAGATTTGGACATGGTTGAGACTGGAATCTGATCTATTTCTTGCAGGCCGGGGGAAAAGTTCTTGCCAGGGGTTTAAATGATTTCTTTCATTTATGGGAATGAAATGGGGGAGAAAGACGGTTAAGGGCGCCAAAGAGGTGGACGTGTTTTAATACGTGTAGTATCCGGAGGTGCAGAGAGGGGTGGGGTGAAGAAGAAGGAGAAGAAGAAGAAGAAGAAGAAGATAGGGGGGTGAAAGAAGAGAAAAAGAAGGGAGTGGGAGGGGAAGAAAGAAAGAAAAAAAAGAAATGGGGTCAAATTGAAAATTTCAAAATATATAATATTCTAATTTTAGCCCAAATGACCGGAAGTTTACCCGAAAACAGGTAAATGGAATTTTAGTGAAAGAATTATGTAAGTTCAGGTACTTTTATGAAAGGATTTAAAGTTCAGATATCACTTCGAAATTACAGTGAAAGTTCGGGTACCATTATTGAAATTTAACCGAAAAAAATAAGACAAATGTGGTATTTGACACAACATTATTCATTTTCTAAAAAGAAAAACAAAGAAATGCATTGTTTATTTTTAGAGGAACAAAGACCAAAACTCCAAAAGTGTAAAAATTCTTTTGAGGCAATTAGGCAAGAAGAGTCACTAAAACTAATTAACGGTCTTAATTTAAAGATGAGGTTGGCAGTATCACTTACACGTCGTCTTCGTTGGAGATCCGAATGAGGGGTAGGTTAAGGTTTTAGTTTGAAAAGCTAGAGTCGGAACTGCACTTTGGGTGGATAAGGACCAGACAACCAGGGGAAGACTTCCGGTTCTAGTCCTCTATTTTGGGAACCAGAACCAACAAGTCCACGTTTAGCTTAAGGAAAAAAATAGTCTCTTCACAATTTGATTTTGCAGAGTTTAGAAAAAAGTGAAATTGAGTGTTGAAATGATGCATAAGAGAGAAAAAAAGGTGAGTCGGAAATAACTTTCCAAAAATTGAGAGTGGATGATTAATTTGGAATAACCCAAAAAGAAATTAAGGAGGATTAATTTGAGACAGAGAGAGTACTAAGTGATGGGTAGATTGCATACCCAGGGGTACTCTTTAGTACCGAGTGTATCACGGACCAACCGGCGAAATGGCAATCTACCGCATAGGTACGAGTCCAGAATAGAGACGAAGATTACCGGTAGAGGTGAGCACAGGTTGGAACGGTTCAGGTTTAATACCATCCCGAGTTTTGTCCCATTGTTTTCAAATGGTTCGGGCCACAAGATTATCCCTTTTTGTCCCTTAATATTAGGGATCGGGATAAAACAGAACAAGTTCGGGTTGTCCTACTTTTTCATTATCCGAAATTTGATATAAAAGTATAAAGTATATAAGGGGGAGGGAAACCACTTTGACTTGGTGAGTAATGAAATATTTATTTGGAATGTTTTAAAAAAGCCAAAATAATAAGAAAACATGAAAAAATGTTACAACATACGTCAAAAGTTAATACTATAAACTTCATTTTAACTATGAGCTAAAAATTGGAGTGGTTTGGGTTAGAACAGTCTGCATTATTTGGTGTTCCAGTCCTAGTTCATTTTTTAGAATATTCGAATATGGATATTTTTATATGTATTTTTGGAAAAAACAAAAATGTGTTTTGTTTTGTGTTATATCATTGCCAGGGGTCTTTTGGAAACAGCCTCTCTACTTCCGAGTAGGGGCAAGGTCTGCGTACACACACCCTCCCCAGACTCTACTGTAGTGGGATTCAACTCGGTTGTTATTGTTTTGTGTTATATCATTATAAATAAATAAATGATATATACATATATACAGGACAAAAGGGATTATAGATGCTTCAGTTGAAGGATGGGCTTTAAGATTCCACGTTCAATTTGTTTTTAAGCTGCTATAGATACATAATCAGTTTTGTAAAAAAAATGTATTATCTTTTAGTAGTTACATCAATTAATTTTTTTATTATTTTGACTTATATGAAAACCCTAAGTTTGAGCAATTTCAAGATGAAGGAATTGAACCTGACCTAGAAGTGAAATTAGAATAGATATTTTCATGTTCGGCACAAGGATATAATGAGTACACTTCAGGAAGTCACATTCAAGAGGATGAAAATGCTGAAATAGAGTTGGTGCAGGTGTTCATAATAATCTTGGCGATGATATTTATATGCCTACGCCACCTCGTGGTACTCATGATGGTAATGCTTTTTGTGAGAACGAGATTAATGATGTTAGAGTGAATGCTACAAATGATTCATGGGAAGAGTTATGGAGTGAGTCTCTACCTCACAATCAACCTGTTGGGCAAGATGAGCGAAGAAAGGGAAAAAGGACTTTTGAGGGTGAATCTTCACAACCCAATAAAGGTGCCCGAACAAACAATCCAAAAAAGGGAAAAACATGAACACATTCAAGAAATGTTTGGTGGGATGATGGATGCAATTCCAAAGCGAAATGAATCACTGGATGAAGTCACTAATTTGATGAAGGATATGATAAAAACAACTTCAAATCCACACATTTCAAAGTTTGATATTAGAGAAACAATGGTAAAGTTATGTTGTTTGCCCGATTTGTCACACTCATCTCCTGATTTTTTATTTGCTTGCTCCATGATTGAAGATCCACAGCAAATAACCGTTTTCTTTTTGTTATCAGATGACACCAGTCGGGTTGAGTACATTAAGTTTATGTACAAGTACTCGGGAATGAGTCTCACTTGAAGTTATGTTATGTTTTTTATTGCATTATGTTTATTTGAAATTCTGTTATGAGCCGTACGATACGAATTTTTATCTTGTTTTATAGAACTAAAATGCTTTAAATACATGCTTTGATGTTTGTCATGTTATTTATTTTTTTATTAGTAATATTACTATTCTTAAACTTAGTTATTATACATGGAGTACAATGTAAATGATGTTGTTCATTTAATGAGTACCTTTTTGTGTGTAGGTATGGACACTACAAAAATGGACACTTCTCTTATTGTTAACATATTTAAAAGAGGGGGATTTATTCTTTGATATGATCTTTTGTGAGGCAGGTTGCATGAGTTGGGTTTGTGCGGATCACAAACCTATAGAGCGATATGTATGACTTCATATTTAACAGGTGAACGATGGGTAAATAAGTTATTGGGTGGTCATGACAAACGATGTTTTAATGCGTTGAGAATGAACCAACTTACATTACGTGAGTTATGTAAACAATTAGAGGTGAAGTGTGGCTTTAAATCATCAAATAGGATATCCGTTTTGGAGAAAGTTGCTTTGTTTGTATTTGTATTGAGCAAGGGTTCTTCTAATAGAGATACACATGAGCATTTTCAACATTATGGAGAAACTATGAGTAGAATTTCCAAAGAAGTCTTGAAAGTAATGGATTGATTTTCAAGAGATCTAATTAAACCTAAAGACCCCGAGTTCAAGAGCATTTCACCATAAATTGCCATTGATGATAGATATATGCCACATTTTAAGGTATAACAATATTATGTTATAAATGCGACTATTTAAACTACTAACAATATTAATTTTATGTATTCAATACGATTGTATAGGAGCTATTGATGGTACTCATCGCAATAACTATTCTTGATGAAAATAAGCAATTACGTTATAGGGAAAAGAAGGGAATGCCAACCACAAATGTATTAACAGTGTGTGGTTGCGAGGGATCAGCACACGACTCTCGAATTTTCCTAGACTCTATCAATAATGCAAGTCTCAATTTTCCACATCCACCTCCAGGTAATAATTATAATTTTTTATAATGTTATATTGTTATATTCAAAAATTAAATCAACACTTTTGAATTGTATGCAATTTTAGGTAAGTATTATTTGGTTGATAAAGGATACCCTGAAAGAGCTGGATATTTAATTCCATACCCAAAAATTAGGTACCATGAATCTGAGTTTCGTGGCGCAAACCCAAGAAGAAGTCAAGAAATTTTTACGAGAGCGCATTCATCATTAAGAAGTTGCATTGAGAGAGCTTTTGATATATTCTTAAACCTCGATGGAAGATATTACAAAGAATAACAAGATATTCATTAATGGATCAAAATAAGATTATTTGTTTGTGTTTTGCTTTGCACAACTATATTCGAATGAGCACAATTGGTGACCCAGCTTTTCAATGGATTGATGATGAGTCTGATTTTGTACCCGTAGATGTGTTTGAAGATGTTCAAAATCATGTTGCAAATAATGATGAGATGGTGATGGCTAATGAGAAGTCAGGAAATGAGAAACATCCGTAAGAGTATTACTTCTAGTTTGATGGCGAGAAGATCTCATTAGTAAAAAGTCGAGAGCTAGTCTGATTTTTTGTCACTTCTAATGCTCATGTCGTCTCAAAAAATGTTTGATACTTCAGATTGTAATGTTTGTCTCGAGTAATTTTTTATTTAATTTTTTAATTTAAAATTAGTGTAGAGTATTTTTATATATTTATGATATCATATTTAAAAAATATAAAATAAAATATATCATGCATGGTTGTTATATTGAAGAATGAAAAATGAAATAAATATAAAAAAAGTCTAATCATAAAATATAAATCTAAATTCTCATTTCTTAAATTATAAAAAATGAAGTAGTCTTTTTGTCCAAAGAAAGGGATAGATGTAGGGTATTTGCTTGTATAATGTAAGTATTTTGTCAAAATTAAAAATCACACACAAAATAACATAAATTGAAGGATGTCCTTATATGTAATTTCACTCACAATCATTTAACTATAAGCAGTTAAAATTTCCAAACATTTAATTTTTAACAGCTAACAAAAATAGCCAGTAAAAAAAACTAATTTAATCCGTCATACAAACGAGCCAATATAAATAACAACTGTCAAGTGCCATTGTACATGCACTGATCCAGTACAGGTTCTTTGCCGGCGATTTTGCTGAAGGTTTGAAGGTACTGAGATAGGAATCGAATCGTTACATTACTCGCCAAAATTTAATGATATGAGATTTGGTTGAAGATTTGGCATTGATCTTTACCGTTGTTCCTTCATGGCTTGTTTTCCTACACCAATATTGCATTGAGAGAGCTTTTGGTATTTTTAAAGCTCGATGGAAGATATTACAAAGAATAACAAGATATTCATTAATGGATCAAAATAAGATTATTTATTCATGTTTTGCTTTGCACAACTATATTCGAATGAGCACAATTGGTGACCTAGCTTTTCAATTGCTTGATGATAACCCTGATTTTATACCTGTAGATGTGTTTGAAGATGTTGAAAATCATGTTGCAAATAATGCGATGGTGATGAAAAGTAAGGAAATGAGAAACATCCGTAAGAATATTACTTCAACTTTGATGGCGAGAAGATATCTTTAGTAAAAAGTCGAGAGTTTATCTGATTTTTTTCACTTCTCATGCTCATGTCATCTCCAAAAATGTTCGACACTTCAGATTGTAATGCTTGTCTCGGATAATTTTTTAATTAATTTTTTAATTTAAAATTGGTGTAGAGTACTTTTATATATTTATGATATGATATTTAAAAAACTATAAAATAAAATATACCATGCATGATTGTTATATTGAAGAATGACAAATGAAATAAATACAAAAAAAGTCTAATCATAAAATATAAATCTAAATTCTCATTTCTTAAATTATAAAAAATGAAGTAGTCTTTTTGTCCAAAGAAAGGGATAGATGTAGGGTATTTACTTGTATAATGTAAGTATTTTGTCAAAATTAAAAATCACACACAAAATAACATAAATTGAGGGATGTCCATATATGTAATTTTACTTACAATCAGCTTAAGTTTCCAAACATTTAATTTTTAACAGCTAATAGAAACAGCCGGTCAAAACAGTCAACTCAATCGGTCATTCAAACGATCTAACATAAACTGCCAACTACAACTTCTAAGATCCAAACAAGGCCATTCTACATGTGGGTGAGCATCGGGTCGGTTCGGTCGATTTCGGCCCAAAACCGAACTAACTGAAAAAATTTATTATTCAAAATAACCGACCGAACCGAACCGACCTTGGATTAAACCCGAACAAACCGAAACCGACAATAACTGAACCGAAACCGAAAATAACCGAACCGACCTTGAGTTTTAATCTAATTATGAAATAATAAAAAATAAAACTAAACTATAATTACAAAAAATGCAAAATGCATATTTAAGACATCTATTTTTAAATATGTACAGATTTAAGTTATAAAAAATTAATATTTACTAAAGGTAGACTTTATTAGTAAAAAAATTATTTAACAATTTAATTTGTAAAATAATTAATAAAAAACAGAATTAAGAATTAATTAAAAAAAAGAGGAACAAAGGGATGAATATGGAAAAATAGGTATTTTGGGTATAGAAGGAATAATGATTAAAATGACATATTTGAGCTTAATTCACTTATTTGGACTTAAAAATTGGTTATATTAATTTAATAAACATTAGGGGTGAATATGGATTTCGGTTATTCGGTTAACCGAACTAACCAAATTAAAGAACCGAAAACCGACCGGACAAACCGAAAAACCGATAATTTGAGAATAGGTAACCGAAACCGAAAACTCGGTTATTTCGGTTTCACGGTAGGTCCAGCTATTTTGCTCACCCCTAGTGAACATGAGGTGAACCAAGAGCTAAGTACATACAGAAAATGTTCATTTTGAATAAATGTATTGTTCATTCTGAATGAACGCTCATTATGAACAATTCTAAACTTCCCCCTTAGTATGTTAAAGCTCAATAAAGCACTGATCCAGTACAGATTCTTTGCCGGCGATTTTGCTAAAGGTTTGAAGGCACTGAGATATAGCAATTGAATCGTTACATTACTAGCCAAAATTTAATAAAGAGCAATGTTAGGGGTACACCAAAGGTGTATCCCAAATGTACACTACTCCCTTCTCTACCACCTATTTTTATTTAGTAAGGGTACAGTGTACAGCTAGCATTTTTATTTAATGACATGATATTTGGTTGAAGATTTGGCATTGATCTCTACAGTTGCTCCTTCATGGCTTGTTTCCCTGCGCCAAAGCTGAACCCTTTTCCATGGTCTGCCAGAGTACTTCACCCACATCTGTTATACCCATACCACCCCCATCTCACCGTTCTAGTCCGCACAAACCGGACGGCTCACTCCACGTGCCAACACCCACTGCTCAAAGCCTCTCTCAGCCCTTCTTCCCACATTGAATCGGCGGAAACTGCAAAGAAGAGAACTGTTTCGACGCTTCAAGAACTCTGCCATGGCCATGTGCCCGACCACATCATACGAAGGTGAGGCTGCTTTGTTCAATCGGGCTAATTAAAAGATGCTATTTTTTTTTGAAGTGTTTTTGGGAAAATTTGCCAATTTGTAATGTGTCTGAGTTTGTGTTACTTATCTATCTCTGAATTTAATTAATGCAATCATTGCCCAAAGTAGTGTAAAATCATTTCATTTGAATTTGATTTGTTGAGTTGCTGTTTTCTGTTGAAAATATGTGATAGCCTGTTAAACTTATTTAACTGAAAATAGAGATTAAGGGAGCAGGGAATTGCAGGATGGATGAACTTGGGTATGTTGAGCCAACAGAAGTGCAGAAGGAAGCATTGCCTGTTCTCTTTGCTGACTGTGATTGTGTGCTTCACGCTCAGGTCTAAATTTGTTTTTTGAATATTTGTACTTGGATTAATTGTTTGGGCTTTTGATAATTCAACTTTCTCTATGATATTAAACTGTCTAGTATCTCATTAAAATGTGTTAGCTTTTAATTGCAAATTCCCTGTGTTAAAATGATTTCATTGGTTACCACTTCGTAATCCTATTGGTTCAACTGGGCTTGTGTTTTACTTGGTGAAGCTTCTATTTTATCCCGCTTTCATCCTATAGACAGGTTCAGGTAAAACTTTGGCGTACCTGCTCCGGATATTCTCTGTCGTTAATGTTCAAAGGTCTACCGTGCAGGCTCTAATTGTGGTCCCCAATAGGGAGCTTGGCATCCAGGTACTTCCCTATTCCCTTGTTATTGTTTCTTTAATGATTTCACCTGAATTACCTGGGATTTTAGCTTCTTTAGTCTAACACCATGTTTGGCTCAAGGAATTTGAAAGGGAAAAGAAACTAAAATGAGATGATTTTTTTTGTTTCGTTAGAGAGGAAAAGAAAATGAGAAGGTAATTTTTACTAAAAGGAAGGAAACAAAATTCCCCCCATTTTGGTCAGGAAAATGAGAGAAAACCATTTTCATTTCTTTTCTTTCTAAATTCCTTGAACCAAACATAGTGTAGGAGTTCATATGAGAGATCTTAGGCTCAATGCCCATTTCCTTCATTTGTATCAATAGAAAAAAATAACGGGCGTTTATTCAATCTTCAAAGCCACACTAATGATTCCCTTTTCATAACTAGGTTACAAAAGTTGCCAGGCTTTTGGCCGCAAAGTCAGAAGAACTTAATTCTGAGCAAAAGCAGTGCAGTATTATGCCTCTTTTGGATGGAGGAAGCTTGAAGCGGCACAGGAGTTGGTTAAAAGTATTAGAAAATGTTTATCTGCTTATATAGATGATGATATCTACTGATGTGAAATAATTCTAATAACCTAATTTTGAAGATTTACTACGATTGTTTTGATGATCACAGGCGGAGCCTCCTACTATGATGATTGCAACTTTGGTAAGTATAAGTCAAATGATTGAGAGGCATGTCTTGACGTTAAATGCTCTGAGAGTGCTTGTAGTTGATGAGGTAATGACAATATAGACATTTTAGTTCTGGCTATGCTCCTCATATCTATTATGTATTTCTTCTGCATATTAAGATGGGGGTTTTCTCTCAAGAGAAAATGATACTACAATTTGACTGTTTCTTGAAAGTATTTAATGATAACCTACACTCAAAATCTTCTTGGAGCTTCGAAACAAGAGTTACTTCTGTCTGTCTGGCTGGTATTGTGTCTCTAAGTTTCTAACCTTTCCTCCCTTTTTTGGGTTGATTAAGTTTAATTCCTCTCTTTTTCAGCACAAAACTTATTCTTAGTTTCACTCCCTATTTGACCCAATGTCTGAATCAAATGAATACAGTGATTACTTGTAATAATCTGAACTGGAAATGAGACAACCCATTATTTTTTAAAGGTTGATTTCATGTTCAATTCCCCAAAACATGTAAGTTCTCTACGGAAGCTTTTGTCATCACACTCTTGTAGCAAGTTTCGTCAAACTGTCTTTGCTAGTGCCACAATTCCTCAGCACAGGCGATTTTTATACGAGGCTGCACAACAGAAATGGACAAAGGTCAGCCATAGCAGATTATGGAATGTTCAAATATAATTTCTGGTGGTATTCAGCTTAGAATGTGTATTACTTATTTTACTTCTCTCGACAGGCGGACGTAGTTCACGTGTATGTGAATCCAATTATGCCACTCCCCTCCTGTCTGCATCATAGATTTGTGGTGAGTGAAGTCCTGCTTGAAACCTCATGTCTTCCTGCCATTTCTGGAACGGTTTACTTGACTCCTACTTCGTGATGCTCTTTCTTGGAGTCAAGGTATGCAGTCAAAGTGAAAAGTATCAGGCATTGCATTCCCTTTTAAAGTCAGATAAACCACATTCAGCCATTGTCTTTGTTGGTGCTCAAGTAAGTATGCGTAACTGTCTAGTCTCCATTTGTAGGTGCCCTCTATGTTTGAGCTTGCATTGTATCGTACTGGGCTTAAACTATGACTTTTGATCACAATCAACAGTCTGAGAAGTCGAAAAAAGAGGGAAATGCCCCTCCTACAATTTCGGTCAAGGAGTACTTAGAGAGTTCTCTGATGGGATTGTGTAAAATCAGCCTCCTGGAAGAGGAAATGAATTTCAATCGACGAGCAGCATCCTTGACTGTAAGTACTAGAGCTATCAATTGTCAAACTTTAACTATTGTGCTGGTTTTGATAGTGGAGTAGCAGTTAGTCAATGCAACTTTCGACACTCATCATGGGTCATCTGGAAACAGCCACCCTATGGCTTTGTTCTTTTCGGTTGAAATTCTAAAGTTGGATGTTGGAAGAAACTGGAAGGAGTTAAAAGAAATTGGAAGGAGTTGGAAAAAATATTGTGATTAAAAAATCACTCAATTAAATAACCACCCAAATAAATATGTAAGGAAACTAATTTTGGATATAAAAAAGAATTCATTTATGTCCATGTTTGAGGTGTTATATTATAAATTTAGTATATAATGATATTGTATAGTCATAATATGTAAATACATTTTTCAAGTCGTTGGAAGAAACGGGAAGCAGTTTGAAAAAGTTGGAAGTTAATTTTTCCAACCAAAAAGAACAGAGCCTGTGTTTTAACATAGGGGTCAGGCTGCATACATCCCACCCCCCTACCCCGCAATGAGCGGGGGGAGCCTTTGAGGCATCGGGGTAATGTTGTTGTTGCTTGTGATAAAAGTAGTTTGAGCTTAGAATCCTTGGAATCAACAGTCCTGGTTTTGTGCATCTTACTTTGAATCAGGAACTGCGACAAGGTGGTGGCTATCTTCTAGTGGCAACAGATATAGCAGCTAGAGGCATTGATCTTCCGGAGACAACTCACGTATATAACTTTGACCTGCCAAACGATGCAGTAAGTTACCTTCATCGAGCTGGGAGGACCGGCAGGAAACCTTTTTCTGACGATACGTGCTATGCTACCTGCATCATAACACCCGGGGAGCAGTTTGTTTTGCAAAGATTTGAAAACCAGTTAATGTTTTCTTGTGAACAATTGTTCTTATAATCTTATATTCATAGAGTAGTTCTTGTTCAACTGACATTCTTTTGCCAGCCTTTCAGTTCACGCTGATCTTGCATTAAGAATGTTGCATCAGTAATTAAGTTGATTTCTTTTGCTCAGAAATCAAATAAGTTACTAGAAAATTATTTCATTTTGCTAGCAAATTGTTTTGGTTAGGTTGTTCCCTTCCATTACAAGCCCCTGATGGGTACATTGGGAGTTAGTCCAATACAATTCATTTAATTGTGATTAGGCTCGCGATGTCGAGTTTGATCCGCCTCGGGAGGAAGCCTGGTTGATGGAGTTGGAATGAGTCGGCCCGGATGTGAGGCGTGGCCTGTGTGGAACGGGATTTGGGCTTTTGACAAACCCCGAAGCAAGGCCCATAGCCGTGCAGGGTACCGATCGAGGTTGAGGTAAGGTCAGGGAATGGAAACAAACCACATTCACTAAAAGGGACATGCATGTTTTGAGACCAAAGAAGTCAAGGGGACATATCACAAGTTTAGACTCATACAGTAATGTTTTCCAAGACCTTTCTAAAAGGTTACACTATCGGTAATATTTCACTACCATTCACTCTAAATGGCATTGGGAGAAGAAAACGATGAAAATAATTCTTTATAATAAATAACTTAAAATCCACAAGTATGAATGATATCTACATCTCATGCATTTTAATGATTTTTTTTAATATTACAAGCATATAATTTGTATTCATTTTGAAAGTATGAATTTAATGCCGCCGGCTCTAAGGCTATGTGTAATGGAAAATGCTAGGGTGCCACCACATGGGTGCTACCATGGGTACACTCATGCTTCGTACAGACAAACACAAACGATAATTATCTGTGTCGCACAGACAATTATCATCTGTGTTTGTATGTGCGAAACATTGGTGCACCCATGATAGCACCCATGTGGTGGCACCCTAGCATGATCCATGCGTAATACTCTACGTAGAGAGCAGTGTGATCCTATGTGGCAATGCCATGTCATTCAATGATCACATTGAACACCATCCCCTTTCCTAAGTGAGTGCTCAGCGAGAGCGAATTCGCGACTACAACCACGAAATTGAAGCACCAAGCACTGCAATTAATGAGTATTATATTATTTATTTATTTTATTTAATTAAATCATTTCATTATATTTTCTAGTGCAACATCTAGTTTATTCATAATTTTTGTACGTAAGCTATTACGAGTACTTTACAAATAATATACTGTTAGAAATCTTTTCACAAGATCTACACAATAGACATGTTGCATATTTAATTTTAATGTTATTTTGCGGTTACATTTTCATCCTCACTTATGAATTGAACGTTTTATTGTTATTCTCGGGACTGAAACATGTTTTAAGTATAAATTATGCCTCATTTATTACTTTTTTCCTATTAAATTTATTTATTTTTGTTTGCTAGTATAAAAATATTAAAGAAATAAATTTGTACAAAAAAAGTTTCTTTTTCTTTTTTGAAATTGTTACAGCACTCAAAGAACAATGTTATATAAAAAAAATAAAAAACCAATAAACGGATTGAATGGAAAAGAAAAAAATTTAAACCAACAAACTAAAAAAGGTTTGGATGAAAAAAATAAAACAAAAAAAATCCAGAAATAAAGAGAGCATAAAAAAACAAACGGTTATATAATTTTATCAAATAACTAACGAAAATAGAGAAAGAAAATGAGTGAAATTTGACCGTGTGAATAGTAAACGGGCAATGTAATTTAGGACGGATGGAGTATTTATTTTAATTAAAAAAAGATACTCCCTCCATCCCACAAAATATTTCTGGTTTTTATTTTTAAGGCACTTAAGAGTGTTTTGGTGTTGACTTTCAAAAAATTCTTCTGGATGTGATGGATAAAAGTAAGACATGATTGGTAGATCAATAATGAAAAAATGTAATGTGAAAAGTATGTTAATAATTAGTAGGGGTAAAAGTGACTTTTTAATAGAAATGAGAAAGGTATCTTGGGACGTATGAAAAAAAGGAGAGAAGTTTTGTGAGACGGAAGGAGTATTATTCAATTTAGTTTTAGGAGGAATAGATAAATATTAAATAATATTAAAAATTGTGTAATCATTGCGGTGAGTGTTGAGTACTACATTTGTTCCTAATTAGTTAATACGCGTATAATACACGTATTATACCTACGTACGTACAATACGCGTATTATACGCACGCATCCATATGATTTTCAAAAATATTTTAAAATACACGCATATTTGATACTATACGTCTAATTACGTATAGTACGTATGAATTGAATATTTCATTATAAATTTTTTTGTACGACAACAAATGTTAGTTTGTTCCAAAAAATATTTAAAACAAAATACGAGTAATACTTCATATCAGTTATGCATACAATACTCAATCAATTTGAAAAAATATATACTATCTACATTCTACAAAGAATGTTACACTTTTTTGTCAAGTTCAAAAAAAAGACTTCATTCTTTTCCTTTTTGTATGTCTCAAAAATTCATTTTCTTTTTAGAAAGGAACAAGTAACTCACAACTCTTATTTGTTTTTTCTAAATATATTCAAACTATAAAGTTTTTATTTTTAACATTTTTTTAAACTACGTACGTGAAAGTCAAATACAGTTCTTTTTTCAAATGACGGGAGTATATATTTTTTCAAATAAATATATTAAACAAATAGAGATTCTAATTTGAAAAAATCTATTGTAAATATTTCATTTAAAAGATTTTTGTATTTTGTTTATTTACCCTAATATAAATTGATAACTATCAATAAATAAATATGTGTAAATTTGACGTATATATAATAATAATATATATAAACATATAAGACGTATTTTAAAAATAGAAAACGTTTAATACGCGTACATATCCGTATCTGTATGTCGAACGTTTAATATGCATAGTAAGCCATATTTTATAAAATCCTAACGTATTATACAATAACGTACGTATATACGTATTATACATTTGCTGTATATTACTAACTATGCATGTGTTATGTGAGTAAAAGGGTGAGTGCAGTCAGCGTTGATGTGACGTTTAGTGACTGCTGACGCAGAAATATCAATAACTTTAATGAAACATATACGAGCCGACGGGTTTTGTTTATAATCCACGAACTTTTAGAAAGTCCATCATCTAAAATAAAGTCACATACTATCAACTCAATTTAAAAGTTTACAAGAACGAAATAGCACATTCTACTATTCCAGAATAGTAGAAGAGACTGTTCTTTCAACTTATTCTTATTACTTAATATTTATTCTTATGTAAATCAGTTCTGATCAGATTACTTCGGACTTGTTAGAAATAGCTTAAAATATAATTATATTCAGTTCAAATCAAAACTCATTTCAATCAGATCAGCACATCACGTCAAGAGAACAAGGCTGAAGTCTCAAACCAACTACAGGGAAAACTCAACCATGTTTTGGGAGAAAACACTTTCATTTTTATTATGTAGAATATCTCCACCCATCTATGGTATTTTCATGTACAAGAAAATCCAACTATAAACCTCGGTACAAGACTACAAGTACACAGCTGCTGGAAAAGTATTTCAGGCTTGTCACAAATGACACCCTATAACGTTTGAAGCATGTTTTCGGAATGACCACAACTCCACGCTCGGATTACATTTTAACTATTATTACACGCAGGGAAATGATGTGTGTGTGTGTGTGTGTATCACATACACACACATACATATATATTGGAAGCATTTAGTTGTCGTCTATGAGAGGCGTGCAAGTTCGGTTGTTGCTTACCATATCGTATGTCGACGCACTAGGGGTGGAGGCTTTCACTAGAACCAGGAAATTCCCAGTTCACAATGACACCATCCCATGATGAGCTGGTTAACATGGGCAGAAAAGGATGCCAATTGCAGTCTCTTACAGGAGCCTCATGATAGTCTAGCTTTGCGACTAGAGCACCACTCACCTACAATACGAGCAAATTTGTATATAGATCTGTGAATGAAGTCATCCGCTATTATATTATATACCCACTACGTGTCTTGCCAAGCCACATATTTTTCTTGATACTCCTTTTTTTAATATGATGTTTCCAAAACTAAACTCATTTTCAAAACTACAACTGTCGCCCATATAGAACTTGGCCAAAGAAGCTGATGGATTGGCCTCTTGGGTAGAGATACTTTGTGGACTTGTGTGGCCCACTAAGTACTGAGCAGATTAGTTGTAAGAGGAGGAGGAGGTTTGGGTACACATGCAGTCTGATAATGAGTACGAACTATGACAAAACCAAGTCAAGTTCAAAATTAAGATGATAATCTAGTCAGCATAAAAAAAATATTAGGAAATCAAATATTTCGGGGCATACCAGGTCATAAATATAAACAGAAGAGTCGGTTGATCCAGTGTAGACGTACTTCTGTCCCGTGCTGCAATATTGGTAGGCATTGAGACATGTTATCAATTTATCATTCACATTTGATTTGTCCTTTTCGCAAACTTCTTACGAGGTAAAAACTAAACCATTGGCAATGAAATGCAAGAAATAGTAAATCACATTATAAATTTACTAAATGTAAATTATATTGGAGGCTGGAGGGGTAGGGTCAAAACAGCTTGGCAAATCACACTATACTTATATATATATATATATATATATATATATATATATATATATATATATATATATATATATATATAAGTAAATTCCATAATTAGCCCTTTATAACAGGGGGGTTTCCCTATTTAGTCCTCTATTATCAAATATTACCGCAGTAGTCCTTTTATGGGTATCTTTCCACAAATAGTCCTTTTTTTAATCTTCTATCATGTTGGTGTTAATTTGAGGGCTTAAAGTGTAATTTTACAATGATAATATATCTTTTTTGTCATACACAATTCCAAAGGTTGTTCCGTTTGCGTTGTTTGTGAATTACAATCGCTTTCTACTACAAGCATAGTCTACAAATGTGGTCTTTTGTCGGAATCCTAGCCCACAATCATAGTCATTATTTTTGTGTTATCCGCTTAACCAATATCAGAACAAGTTACTAGACATAATATTGATATCAAATTATACTTTTAGCCTTTAAATTAACACCAACATGCCAGAAGATCAAAAAAAGGACCATTTGTGGAAAGGCACCCTTAAAAAAGGACTACGAGGTTAATATTTGATAATAAAGGACTAAATATGGAAACCTCTCTGTTATAAAGGACCAATTATGGAATTTACTATATATATATATATATATATATATATATATATATATATATATATATATATATATATCAACAATGATTCGAAGAGATTTGACCTAATTTGAAAAAGTGCTGGTGACCCTAACTGTTTAGCAGTTCCCAATAGGTTGTGCAGGGAAAAGTTATAGTCAATTTTGACAAGCGTACGCAAAAGCTACATGAATCATCAAATAACATGGTGTAACAACTTGTTCGCATACCTATATGCAGGAGAAAAGTAACAACGTATCAGTGTGCGCAATACTGAATGCCCTCTGTATGTAGAGACTGACAGGTCGTGTGGATGTCTCTTGTTTCGTGCATGCTCAGGGTAGTCCATCCATCTATAATCCCAATCGTATTTTCGAGGCCTGGGGGTGCTAAAATGATAACATTTTCTTTAACCACTAAGCTATGGAATCCATGCTTACAGAATTTAAAAAATAAGGAGTACAAAAAAAGAAAAAAAAGTTGTGGACAAAACAAGAGCACATACTAATTCACATTTGAAGACATTTTTCTGATATCCCAGAGTTTCATTGCCTGATCTTTTCCATTTGATATAAGGTAACGGCCATCTCCTCGAGTGTCAACAAATGTGATGCCTTCAAGATGGCCTATGAGGACACCAGCTGCTTTCTGTTCGGACGCAAAGCAGCGTCTGTCCCAAACCTGAGGTTATCATAGTTTCTTTTTTAATGATAACATAATGTTAATACATGCTTAATTTCTATTGTAGTAAAAATATTAAAAATTTACATCCAATAACTTTTGAGTTTTGAGCTTCTACTTCGTCCAAAAGCAGTTTTGTGTGTTTGACAAATTTAGTTCTGCTTATGGTGTATGATTTCTGAGTGCAAAATGAGCACCAAAAGTGCTTTTGGGCAAAGTTAGGATTAAATGCTTTTGGCTTCTGCGTTATGACTTCTGTTTTTCAAGTCATCTACCACAGTGCCAAACGCCCTCTAAGGCCATGTTCTCCTTAACTTATTTTCTTAACGTATTACTTATTCTTATTAGAATAGATTAGATCAGAAATAGCTTTAAATATAACTGCATTCACATCAGAACTCATTCCAATCAAATCGGGTGAAGAGAACATACCCTAAAACCTACTCTTGTCCCAAAATGAAGTTTACACTTCCTTGCTTTCCTATTAAGGAAAGGAATATGCGGCTCATAACATTTCTCTCTAGTCTCTTCTAAAGAAATCTCAACCACACTTTTTTTTTACTTTTCAACACTTTTCTTAAAATCCGTCAATTAAAACCCTAAACTTCATTTTGCGGCGGATGGAATATTTCCCAAAGCCCGAAATGCTTTTAAAGAAGGCCAGTAATATGTGATCTATAATCCAAGACTCCGTCTGACCCAAAGAAATGTCATATTTGGAATACTAATTTCTGTATTACAAACACGACCCAATTCAAGTGACATTCACTTTGAATGTCATATGATGACTTGAGCCTCTTATGGTGCTCCGTTCAAAAATTGATGTTTCCTACCCCCAATTTCACGCCGATTTGCTACAGTTTCCCTCAGTTTGCCGATTTGCTACAGTGACACACTGTAGCAAATCGGCGAACTGAGGGGGGGTCTGGGTAGGAACCATCCATTTTTCGAATGGAGCACCGTAGGAAGCACGGGTCATCCTATGACATTGCTCTCAATGTCATAGGAACCGCGCCGTTACAAACAAGACATTTTGTGAAAAAGGTAATACTTATATGGTTGAAGACTAGGAGTAGGTTAGTCATTATCATAAAACAAAAACAAATGCATGGGATAATGGGATATAGAGCAATAGAAGTATCACTCATTACCCACTTGTACTGACTCCAATCGCATTAAATTAACAATTCAACAAGGCGCCTCACCGACCAAATAAAAAAGATCATTGTATTGGATGATCCACATCCACTTATAATAATGTCAAAAATTTGATTGCAGTGATGTACATGTTGCATACATCTGTTCACTAAATTAGAGAAAAATACTTATTAACCTGTTGAATGTATAGGATTCCATATACATAATTAAAAAGTTTTTGTGAATTACTCAACAAAAGTATCGCCAATCATTCCATTTGTATTGAATGAACCCCATCAAATAACATGGGGAAAAAATAATTGATTAAATCACTACCAAATACCCATCATCAACATTTATATATATCCACAAATGCTGATAAATAAAAACTGCGGAGTAAATCATAAAATACTGTTTTCAATGTCAATGGGAATTTGTTCAACACACTAAATTGTGCAATTAATAGTGTTTGATTTTTTAAATTTGTTTACCAGTATTCAATTCATTGATTTAAAGAGGTAAGGTAATTTACCTTACACAAGTTATCATCACTCCCAGAGAATATAAGATGGCCAGTTTCATCAGCAAAGCATACAGCATTAACATCAGACTGCATAAACAGAAAGAAAATATGAATGTTACACATTTTCGCAATGCATAAATTTTCCCAACAAGGACATACAATTGCCTATACTCAGAAGATCTTAGATCACATAGAACTTATAACACCATGAAAATGCTTAAAGAATAAACCATCAATACATCATAAATAAATTTCTGATTAGAAGAACCTGATGAGCATTGATACGAAGGCTTAGTTTCTTTGTTTCAAGATCATAGACATATATTGAATCATCACTGCTACCAGCTACAAGTTCTCGCCCATCAGTTGAAAATTTTACAGAAAAGATTCCAAAGGAATAATCATCATAGTCATCAACATCTGACGAAAACTCTAGACCTTCATGAATTTCCTGCAGAAAACATAAAAAAATATATAAATAAGTAATTAAATATACAAAACACTTTTTAGGGCATCATATGCTAGAAAAATATTTAAAGACTCTTTAGTAAATTGCATGAGAAGAGGCAGGGAATTCATTTGTTGATAATATTATTTTCAAAATGACAACCATTATCCAAGAGACTTGTGAACTACGGTGTTTTACTATTCACTCGACCCCACTACTCTAACCTTCATTTGACAAACTCTCAAAAGCATCATATCGGGAGAGAGAGAGAGAGAGAGAGAGAGAGATCATAATCAAAATCACTAGAGCTTTATATTGAAAAAGATTTTTCATGAATCGTGAGAGCAGTGGAGCCAAGAATGAAGTACATATCATTTAAGTCCATGCTAAAACACTGCTTACTGGAACTTTATTAAGTTAAACATGAAAATGACAACAACAGCCCAGTTGGATCCCATGAAATGATATAAATTAATGTTCAGACATTATCAAAACTCAAACCAGTGGACTCGATAATGTAAGAACTAAACTGCAATGCATACCGTAACATTTGCAACAGACTCTTTTGCACCAGATCCAACATCAACAATATGTACAACAGGTGAGATACTAGAATAAACCTGCAGTTAGGAACTTAAAGACAATATTAGAATGCATATAAGTGTAACCCCTTTAATTTAATAGCCCTAGGACCAGAGATTTCTATTAATTTAGCAAGCTATTAATGAAAGTTTCAACGACAATTAACAATTATTAACATACCGTGGTACATGATTTCTAACTTTACGAGTACAATGTGGCCAAAAAGAAACTTGAAAATTCATTGTCATATACACGTTATACACTCATAGTATAGAATGTATTTAATGCCCTAGAATTAAATGTTAGAAAGCTGAGGTTGATGATGACAATTGTCCATTAGATCATATTTCATGCAAAGAGGAAGTAATAGTCAAAACTACACTGAAGAACTTATTGCAATATGAGAAAACAGCACTTGAACTTCATGGTGAGAAAATGAAATTCAATTACACATGCATACATAGAATCGGAAAGAAAAATATCCTTGTGCAATGTGCACTGGTAGACTAATGAGATACAAGAATTGGAAAAACGTGTGCAATAGTCCAAAACCAAATACCTTAACTGTAGGGATAGGTATTCGGTGCCATGTGACTATGTAATGGTCGTTGGCTAGTCAACTTTATAAAACATGATACAAATCAACAAAAAACAAAAGGAATAAGCGAATGACTGCCTCCACAAACGTGAGTGCATCTATGTGCTTGTCTATGTTTGTGTTTTTGTAAACCAAAAATGAGGTGGGGGTAAAATAGCTTTTTTGAAGTAAATAGTTTTCAACACTGGGGTTAAGTATTTTTTTCATGGACAAATACCGTATTTGGTCCTCAAATTTGATTCTTTCTATTTTTAGCCCTCAACTTTTAAAAGATTTCATATTTTATCTAAAACACCTAAGACTTCTTTAAGTGTTGTACAATGTAAAGACAAGTTGAGCTAAATGTCAATTTGTTTTAAGTTAGTGATGAAAATTGAAGTTATAATCATAAGTGAAAATGTTACTCTCTTTTCATGTTTTAGATGATAACAATATAATGCCTCCATCCCATTAAAAGATTCATGTTTCTACACTTACGTTTGTCACTTTGTCCCAAACAAAGAGTGTCGAATTTAAATAAATAAAGATAAGGATTGTTTCACAATATGCAATCTTTTTATTAAAAAAGTGTCTCAAACATATTGAGTGTGTAAAATTCAGTTATACTAACAAATAAATTTCAAAAAATGGCTATGTATGATGGTTTCCAATAGTTTTACCTTTCCAAAAAATGAATCTTTGTGAAATTACTCTTCTCTATGGGAAGGAGGGAGTACCTTTTATGGACTTGATACACAATGTCTAAGCTACAAGTAAACGTGAATAAGTAATATGAGATAGGTATCTTTCTACAAACGAATCAAAGATGCTATAAGTATAAATTTCATTTTGGAAAGAAAATCTTATGCACCCTCCTACCTGATGATGATATCGAGATGAAAAATTACTAACAAGCAAAAAGAACAAGGTAACAAGTTAATTAGCAATACAAAGAAACAATTTAGCTAAGCAAAAAAGAAGAAGAACCAATTTAGCGAAAAAGAAAGAAAAAACATGTTGGCTAATTTCAAAATGACAAAAGGTTATAGCAACCATACAAGAAAACGTTGATCGGGTGAAAGTGATGTATCGGTTATTGTCCACCGCAAACTTCTGGCATGAATGTCATTCTGAATTTTCCACCCACAATCAACATTATAAATTCTAATATGGCTTTCCTGTATGATCGAAAAGAAAGTTGCTACAATTCAGTACCGCTTACATATTGTTCTTGCGCGGAGTATCTGACCAATGAACTGATATAATCATACCTGGAAACCGGCAACAAATAGAGAACCATCTGCGGAGAATTGTGACACATAGGCACAACTTGTCATTCTATCAACTAATGAAGGGCCATAAACGGGCAAATATCGGCTCAAAATGTGACAGCAATCTGAGGAAGTGAATCTCCCTCTTCCATTATAGTTGACTTCCCTGCCTCCTAACATTTTCACTGGGGAAACAGGTAAACTCACCTTGCCCGGTCTGGCCCCACACAGCCATCTATGGGGGCTGGAGCAAACCCTTGTGAGTTGCCAGATTTCATGACCAAGGCTATCCCCATGCTTTTGATCACCACACACAGCTCTATCTCTACTTTTACTGTCACCAACAGCAAAAGGCCTTGTAGAACTACTCATTGCAAACACTTAGTTTTACTGGGTATGGCTTTACTCTGAATATTTACACATGTAACCCCTCCCCTGTCACACATAACTCTGAATCTGGGAGACGGTATGAAACAAACCTAGCCCTGCAAATATAGGACTCATACCTCAGGGTATTTGCTCAAAATCCAGAACAGCACTTTGCAAGGGAATACAAGAAAATTGTCCGACATTTTCAGCTCAACAAAATCATTACAACAAATTGAAACGAAAACGAATGGATGAAACCCGCGGAATGGATAATTTTGGAGCGAAACGGATTAACAATGTCTCAGAGCGGAGTGCTGCAAGTCCAAGGATAGGATAATTGGTAACTTTGGATCTTCAATTCGACAAGGCATTGGATTGGCACCATAGGATTTAAAAAGTTTTATCCCTATATATCAAATATTACTAATTTAGTCTTTAATTAGTCCCTACATATTTAGTCCCTACATGTCAAATATTACTAATTTAATCTTCAATTATTATATTCATTTCCATGAATGATCCTTTGTTAACATTTCTGTTAAGAACGTAAATAAAATTGTAAATTCACACTCCTTTATCTCCTCAATTAAGCTTCCTCCCTCTAAATACAAAACTGAAATGATCATTCATTTCTCAATTATTAGTCTTCCTAGTGGAATTTAAAATCAAAACCAAGAAGCTTTATGGGTGAGTTTTATCAGTTAGTCTCAAGAAATTGCAAAGATAATAAATATTAAAACTCATCCATGAAGGTTACTGATGGTATAAATTACTTGACCGGTCAAACTATACTAGACCGGGTCCAGAATAGTTTGCTTGATTTGGTAAAGTAAGAAAGGTAAAAACACGTAGATTGACCTGTAGGACTTTAGGTGGAACACCTGTAGCCCAATTTATATTATAACGGAGAATGCACGGGTGCTTTTACAAAGGAGTTTAGAGAGAATGAATTCGGATCCCTCTTTCTGAGGTTTACATGAGTATTTATACTAGGCTAAGGGGGACAAGACCACGTGCGCCCACGTGGGGGCACGCTGCTGATGTGGTGCGAGGTGACTGGTTTTGTCCTCGAGCAGCCTTGTCGCCTTGTGAGGGGAATTACTTCCCTTGTCGCGTTCTGGCTTGGAAACATTCCTTCAGCATCTCCAGTTGTCCTCCACTGACATGGGTCGCTACACGCCAAGCCCTTTTAGATTCTCTTCTTCCGACACTTTCCAACCCTAGAAACTACACCGGGTAATCTCCGAGGGATGAAATAATCGAAGTTAGGGAAAAATAGGGTGACAAAGTAGTTTGACCGGTATGCTTTTTCGTGAAGTATACCGGTCATCTTTGGGCCGATGACATATCAATTTGCCGATGATTTAAGTCTCCCTTCCAAAACTTTCGAGATTGAACGGTCAACTAATTGGTCTTCTCCTTTGACAAGTCGTGGGTGGAATACACCCATCAATAAGCCCTCCACTTCCCGGTCATGCAATTTGTCATGAGAGGGAAGTAAAAAGTCTGAAACGGGACCTCAAATTCGAATTTCAGGCTTTTTCCCGCCCAAAAATCTCAAAATTTGAATTTGAACTCTGAACTTTGACACGTGTTGGACACCTGTCGTTGCAACGGTCGGCTGCCCACCCGTCGTTTCGCCTGCCAGTGGGTCATCATTGCGCCGCCTGACGCGGCGCAACCTGAAGAGGCCACGTCGTCTGATTCGGCTTCCCTCCTCCTATATAAAGGCCTCCACCCCTCTTCTTTGTTCACTTTCCGCGATCAAGTCTCAGAGCTTTCACCGGTCAAGTTCTTCTCTCTCGCTATCCAGCCCTCCGAGTCAAGTAAGTTTCCCCTTCTTTATCTAATTAGTTTCCCGGTCATGTCTTCTTTGGATAGCCATAGGACTTCTTCCTCAGAGGACTGCTCCTCTGAAGACTCCAACTCCTCCTCTTCGACCGGGTCTTCTACTCCTGACTCCACGCCCGGTCAAACTCCTAACTCCCCCATACCTCAGCCGCAGCCTGTAAATCAGATGCCCGGTGAAGTTTTTATGGGGAGGGACGAGCCGGTTGATGACGAACCGGGTCCCTATGACCCTGAAAACGAAACCCGGGACGCGTGGGAGGAGCGGCTCCATGCCGCCGGTTACTTTCCGCTCCCCACCTTCTACGTCCTCGACATTTCTTCCCATGTATCCAAAATTGCTTTGAACAAAATCCGTACCGGATGGGTATACACTTCTGTATGAACATAACTGGCCCAACATTGTTGAACCCCACCAGGAGGATAGGATAGGGTTCCACACGATTTCCCTAGGTGCGGGCATCGGTTTTCCTCTTCGCCCCCTCCTAACTAAAGTATGCCATGCGTTTAGGATTTTACCCGGCCAGATAACTCCTAACGCCCACCGGTATCTCCATTCCTTTGTAAATATTTGCTCTCACCTGAAAATCGATCCCTCCTTGCGTCTTTTTCTCTTTTGCTTTGAAGTCCTACCAGGCGGATCTGGCTGCGAAGGTTTTGTATTCTTCAAAGCCCGTACCGGTAGGAAGTTCATTTCTGAAGTCCCCTAGAGTAACCGGGGATGGAAGGAAAAATTTGTTTTCATCGAGTTTCCCCCCTTCGTCACTCCTTTTGCCGGTCTAAAATGGAATGACCATCTTCTCGATCAAGAGCACGCTGCACCGGCTTCCTCCCCTGACTTGGAAGCAAGTCTTGAAATCCTTATGCGCGGCGATCCATACACCGGGAGGGTCTTCCACTATGGGAGCTGGGTTTGGCGGGTTGAATCGGGTGGTGAGGGTACCTCCCAAGCCCATGAAGCAGCGGGGCGCGGGGTACCCTCCCCGGGCAACACTGCAGAGGCTGAGGGCCAAAACCACCCAGGTATTTCTCATTTTTCTTGTGATTCGTAGTTGACCAGTATCGTTCCTTGTACATAACGGTTTTAGTTTCTTCTGCAGATATATGGAGTTCGAGGAGTTTGTCATTCCCGATGACCAACCAGCGGGAGAAACCGGGGGCTCCCAGGCCAACCCTACCAAAACCTTCCCGGTCAACCAAGAGACCGTGGAGATTTTGGATGAGGACGAACCCCAAGACAACCGGTCTAAGGGGAAGGAAAAAGAGAAGACCGGTCGTCGGACCAAGAAGGTGGCCACCAACCATCCCTCTACCATGAACAAGAGGCAGAGGATAGATCCCGGTGCGGCCCATCAGACCGTGGAGGAGGCCTACATCAACCTCGGTCTGCGGTTGAGGGAGGTAAGTCATCTCTCGTCACCGGTCAACCTTTCCCTTACGTTACACGAAGATTAACCGGGTTGTTGTACGTTTTGCAGGTTGGGGAGATTGGGGCCATCACCGCCGACCGGTTGGGAATGGACTCTCCAACCGAGGTGGCCAGGCTGAAGAAGAGGAACGAAGAGCTGGCCCTCCTCATAAAGAGCCAAACGGATGAGCTGGCCAAGTTGTCAAAGATGGCCGGATCCTTGGGGGCAGAGAACACCCGGCTGAAGGAGGAGAACGGCCAGCTGCTGGACGAGGTCTCCGAAACAAAAAGGGAGATGGCGGAGAAGGAAGAAAACTTCCCTGGGCGCGCAGCTGCCTAGGTTGAGGAAAATAAGGCCGAAGTTGCCCGGGTGCTGACGGCGAGCCTCGAAGCTACCATGGAATCCTTCAGGCTTCTGTACCGGGAGCCTGAAGGAAAGAAGATGATAACGACAATTGGGTCCTTCGGATTCAAAAGCGGCCAGAAGAAAGACCATGCAGCCTCCCACCGGATCCTCCTGAAGAGAGACCCAGCCTTCACTGCGGCTTCCTATGGCCTGGCTCCCATCCCGGAGGAAGAGCCAACTCCCCCTTGACTGATCTCCCCGGCTACGCCCAGTTGAATTATTTTGTAAAACTTCGAACTCATTTCCCCGGGAATGCCCGGTGTATCTGTAAACATTTAACACTCTTGTTCCGTTTGAATGCCATGTTTAATTTCCTTACTGGTTAATCTTCCATATCTGCTTGCTTGTTGATTTATACTTTGCTCTTACTTCTTAGAAATTCGGACCGGTAAATAAATCAGGCCACTTCTCAATTGTTTCCAACCGGCAGAACTTCAAAGTTCTCTCTGATCACTTTATCTCAAGGATGAGCCCGAGTAACTTGGACCAGTCAAACTTAAATTTTCGCTTTCTCGGCTTGTTTTTGAATACGCTAAGTCCAACCCGGTTGAACTAGAGTGAACCGGCTGAACTTTACTTTGGCTTTTGGATACCTTCGTGTTTCTAGTGAATTCTTCGATAAAGTACAGTTTGACCTGTAGGTTCCACTCCATTGTCTGACTGGTCAACTGCCTTGTCTTGTAGAACCTTCGAAGTTCTGTTGCGCCCATACCCGACCGGGGTATTCTTTTTTTTTGTTGACCGGTAGGTTGTAGATGGAAACACCTGTAACCTAGTAATTCTTGAAGTATCCTTAACGGGTAAGAATACTGGAGATTTAACCATGTCGAATGGTTTCGAACCCTCTTCAAGGTTCAAATGCACCCTTCTTCCAAGGCCCCCTCTTCCGGGCAATTAAGTCTTTTAATGGCCCTTTAATTTCTACTATCCCGGAAAGGCCTTAGCTCACCCCCCTCGTTCAAGTCTTCCCTGAGAAGGGGGAAATAGGATGCGCCACGGTGGACGATCCCCTTCTATTTCTTTTAATGGGCATCTTTTAGTCCCCAATCAATTTGACGGTACCGGCTGATTCCCCGATGCCGATCAAACCTCATGGGCCCGTGTAAGTACGGTTCGAACCTTCTTCCAGGTACAGCCCTCTTGCAGGCATACCCTCTTCCGGGCCCCTCTTCCGGGTTTTAATATTTTTTCTATTATACTGAGCAAGACCGGTGTAGTAACCAGCGTGCCAGGTCCGGGCCTGTATCTCAGTTGGCTTATCCAAGTGGATTCGATCCACCCGGGAAGCCCTCCTAGGATAGGTTCGACCTATCAATTTTTTGCTGCTGCCATGTAGGATGCGGAATGTCATCAATTCGATTGATAATAAATGTAGGCCTCGCCTAGGACTACAATCATTTGTAGAACTTGCGAAGATGATGGGAATTCCAAGTTCCTTCTACAGGTACACCATCTAAAGTTTCTAACTGGTAGGTTTCTGGGCGAATGATGGCTCTAACCCTGTATGGGCCTTCCCAGTTTTTGCCAGCTTTCCTCCATCGCCGGGTCTACTTGCTTCTCTTCTTCGTAGGACTTCATCCCCAACTTGGAAGTATCGCGACCCAACCTTGTTGTCATGGTACTTCTTCACAACTTCTTGGTATGTACTCATTTTAACCTCCACGACCATTCTTCGTTCTTCGACCAAGTGGAGCTCGGCCAAGTGGTCTTCTTCATTTTCCTGGGGCTGATAATTTGATTCCCGGAACGTTGGGAATTTAGCTTTGATGGGCAGCCTTGCTTCACACCCATACGTTAGGGAGAATGGAGTTTCCCCTTGAGCCCTCTTGGGTGTTACTCGGAATGCCCATATGATGTGCGGGAGCTCTTCTAGCCATTTGTTTCCTGCTTCTCCCAGCCGTTTCTTCAAACCATCTACGATAGTTCTGTTAGCATTTTCGACTTGGCCATTTCCTTGGGGGTACGCCACCGAAGAGCGATTGTGCTTGATTCCGAAGCCCTCCAAGTATTCAGTGAATCTCGGATTTCGGAATTGTGGGCCGTTGTCGGTGATGAGGTTCATGGGCACTCCAAACCTCGTGATGATGTTCTTCCAAATGAATTTCTTGCATTGTTGTGTGGTAATGTTGGCCAATGCTTCGGCCTCGATCCATTTGGTGAAGTAATCGATGGCTACGATTACGAACTTCTTCCCTCCTTGGGCAACTAGGAAGGGTCCAATGATATAAACTCCGAACCTAGCGAATGGGATGACATTCGACATGGGGTGATAGTAGGTCGCCGGTCTACCGGGATACTTGTAAAACACTTGGCACGTTCTGCATTTCTGAACATACCTCTCACAATCCTGGACAATTGTTGGCCAGTAATACCCCAATAAGATGATGCGTTGGGAAAGCATACAGGACATTTGATGCGCCGCGCATACGCCTTTGTGGACCTCCTCTATGACTCGCTCAGCCTCCCGGTTAGTCAGACATCTCAGGAGTGGCCCCCCAAATGCCCTTTTATACAGCTTTCCATCAAGAACCTGGAATCGGGGTGCCCTGAGCTTCACTTTTCTTGCCCGGTCATCTTATTCTGGCAAGCTCCCATCCATCAAATATTCCATCAGATCATACATCCAATGGTCGTCCGCCCCGACCAGGTTTGACCGGTCAGATTGGCTTCCGGCTGTTATAGCGGCGACTTCCAATTTTTCGATGCTGGCTCGATCCAGGATTTCCACCCGGGAAAGTTTTGAAACATGCTCGGGAGCATACTGCGTCAACTTGGAGAGAAGGTCTGCATCCGCGTTCTCCCCCCGGGGAATTTGGGCGATCTTGAATTCCTCAAAGCCTTTCAACATGGCAATCACGAGCTCCTTGTATTGTGCCATGCATCCTTCTCTTGCTTCCATGTTACCGGTCACTTGCCCAAGAATCAGGCTAGAGTCAGATTTGATACTGACCCGGCTGATTTTCAGGGCTTGGGCGAGTCTGAGCCCTCCAACCAGAGCTTCATATTTTGCCTCATTGTTCGTCAGCTTGAAGTTGAAGATGATTGCATGGTAGATCTTGAATCCTTCTGGGGTGGTGAACACGATACCACCCCCGTATCCTCTAGAACCGGATGCCCCATCAACTGCCATCTCGCACCATTGCTCAGTGGGCTTGTTGACCGGTAGGTCTGGAGTTAGACCGGTCATTTCTACCACGAAGTCTGCAAGGGCTTGTCCCTTGATTGCTGACCTTGGCCGGTACTCAATATTGAACTGAGTTAACATCATTGCCCACTTCACCATCCTCCCGGAGGATGTTGAATTTCGCAACACTGCACCCAGCGGTTGGTCAGTCAAGACTTCCACCGGGTGAGCTTGGAAGTAGGATGTTAACTTTTTTGTGGAGATGAAAAGCGCATAGGCTGTGTTTTCCATCGCCGTATATCTACTCTCAGCCCCGTTTAGTGCTTTGCTCACATAATAAATGGGCTTTTGTGCCCCATCATCTCTTATTAAAACGGAGCTTACAACATTTGGGGAAATTCCCAGGAACAGATATAGAGTTTCACCCGGTTCAAGTTTAGACAATACAATATCCGACGCTAGGTACTCTTTCAGCTCCTCAAATGCCATCTGGCATTCTTCGTCTCATGCAAATGTGTTGGCCTTCTTCAGAACTTTGAAGAAGGGCAGGGATCTCTCAGCTGACCGGGAAAGGAACCGGCTGAGGGCCGCTAGACGACCGGTCAACTTTTGAACATCCCTCACGGAGGTAGGGGCTTGCATTTCAGTGATGGCCCGGATTTTTTCTGGGTTGGGCTCTATTCCTCTCTTGATCACCATGAATCCTAGGAACTTCCCGGTGCGAACCGCGAAGACGCACTTCTTGGGATTTAACCGGAGATTGTACCTTGCCATGATATCGAATGTGGCTCGCATATCAGCCGGGTGGTTGAGAGATACCTGGCTTTTGATCAGCATGTCGTCGACGTATGCTTCCATGGTCTTTCCCAGTAGTGGCTTGAAGAGTTTGTTCACCATGCGCTGGTAGGTTGCTCCTGAGTTCTTCAAGCCAAACGCCATTACCCGGTAGCAGTAGGTTCCTTCGGGTGTGAGGAATGACGTCTTCTCTTCAACTTCCTTGGCCATGTAGATTTGGTGGTAACCCTTGAAGGCATCCATAAAACTTAGGAGTTCGCACCCCGCAGTTTCGTCCACCATTTGATCTGGACTGGGAAGGGGGTAGGAATCGATCGGACAAGCCTTGTTCAAGTCCGTATAATCCACACACATTCTCCACGTGTCGCTCTTCAGAGCAAGGACAACATTGGTCACTGAGGAGGTCCTTTACTTCCTTCTCGACGAAGTCTCGCCGGTCACTGGCCAGGTATCGCTTCTTCTGACGTACCGGTCGACTTCCTTCCCTCACGGCCAACCGGTGGCAGATAACAGAGCGATCAATTCCGGGCATAACCGCCACGCTCCATGCGAATATGCCCGCGTATTCTTGGAGGACCCGTGTAATCTCTGCCTTGAGATCCTCGGGGAGATTTGCTCCAATTCTAACCATCCTTGAAGAATCACCCGGGTGAAGTTCGATTTCCACCGTTTCGGCCTCGGGTTCCAATTTCTCCCGAGTCTCTCCCTTTGTGATTTCTTGGGAGATGACATTGACCCCCTTGGTCATCTTCTTGACTGCCCGGGCATAGCATTTTCGGGCATTCCTCTGGTCACCCTTCACCTCACCCACACCACCTGGAGTGTGGAACTTCATGCATAGATGAGACATGGAAATCACCGCCCCGACTCTATTGATGCCTGGCCTTCCAAGAATTGCGTTTTGGACGCATTTGATGTCCACAACTATGAACCGCATCTTCTTCCATACGGTTTTTTCACCCGATCCTAGTTCGACCGGTAGAACCATGGATCCTTCAGCTTCCACTTTATCTCCCATGAAGCCTGAGAGAGGAGTTTTCAGGGGCTCAAGTTGTGTCCGACACAACCTGAGTTTTTGGAAAGTCTCCAGGTATAAGATGTTGACACTGCTACCAGTGTCAACTAGCCCCCGGGCGACATCCACCCCATTAATGTCCATGGTGATGACCAATGGATCATTTTGATCTTCACCGGTAGGAGGAAGATCCCGTAAAGACGATCGGCTCCCTCCTAGTATGCTTACGCCTGGGCGGTTCAGCACTTACCTCACCAACGTAAATGCTCCGGACCCAGTTCTTCCGTTGCGCGGCTGAATCTCCACCTTCAGGCCCGCCAAAGATCATTTCGATATGCTCTTTTTCAGGAGCAGGTTGCCGCTCCCTTGGCCGGTTATTCCTCCGCCAGTCGTTGTCCCAGTCATCTCCCGGGGCAGCTGGCCTCACCCATTGATGACTCTTTTCCTGGGCTTTCTGCAAGTAATCCTTGCCCAGTTCTCCACTGTCTATCATCTGCCGGATGACCCCCTTAACACTTTTGCATTCGGAGGTGTTATAGGAATTGACCTGTGGTACGAACAATAGGTGCCCGACCACTGCCGCCCTGTTTGACCGGTAGGATTTTCCGGAGGAATGACCGGTGCTTTCTGGATTTCTTGGCATTCTTCCGTATTGACCATACGAACGACCGGGTCATAGTGGTGTCTTGGCCGGCTAGGTCCCAGTGCTTCTTCCTTCTTGACTTGCACCGGCTTGGGCTTGTAACTATGCTCGGCTTCTTTCTTCGCCCGGAGTTGAGTTTCAGCCTCAGCAAACTCCCATGCAATGTGGTAGGCCTCTTGGTACATGGCCAGGGGTTTCCGGCAGAACTCCTTGTATAGTTCCCCGGCACGTAAGCCATTCAAGAGAAGGGATAAGACGGTCTTGTCATCCATCTCTTCCACCTTGTCCACCTCTTCCTTCCACCGGGTGAGGAACTGAGTTAGGTTCTCAGACTCCCTCTGCCCGGCTGTACTAAGATAGGTGAATTTTTTCCTCTTAGTACAATTCTCCTAGAACTTGGCCTTGAATTTTGAGGCCATATCACTGAACGAATCAATGTTTCCCGGGCAAAGCTTATTGAACCATTTAGTGGCTCGGTTCCGCAAGGTCCGGAAGAAAACAAGGCACTCTTCTTCATCGGTGCAACCGTTCATGGTTGCACTCTGGTTGAAGGAGTCCAGATGGATCTTCGGATCTTCCTTCCCGGTGAATCTAGGGGCGTCGATCTTGACCTTTCACGAAAAAGGTGTCAGATGGACCCTCGTGGTGAATGGGGACCCCTCCAGGGGGTTGTCCCGGTCATTCTTCTCCCCGACCTTCTTCTCCAGCCTTTCTAGTTTTGCCTCCATCTGCTGGACGCGGTCATTTGGGATGGTTAACCGGTTCGCCACCGGTAACCTGGGCTGTCTTTCTACCTCCTCTTTCTGGCGAGAGGCCCTCGTCCTCGCTGGCTCCTTCCGGTTAGACCGGGAGCGCCGGGTGCGGGCAGGCTTGGCCTCCCTCACCTCGCCTAGCCGGGCGAACGCGCTGACATGGCAGGTCGCTGGCCCAGCCTTTGCTTGGCTGACTTACTCTGGCCTTCCTCCCTATCCCCCAGCCTTTCGAAGGCGGAGTTTCGGGAGGTCGCTGGCCGGATGTTTTTTCCTTTCTTCTTCTTGTGGGCCCTCGGAATGTCCCACTCGCCGTCATCACTCTCAATTGAGACGCAATGACCATCAGGGGTGACTTGCGGATTCGTACCTTGCGGGGGACGCGACGGCCCTGCAGCGTAGAGCGCGCGAGTCAAGTTGACAGGGGCTATAGTGCTGACTAGCTGCGGCTGGAAAGGTGATGGCTGCGGCATCGGCGTCTGGAACGACGTCACCGCCATCGAAGCTTGTAGGGGCATGGTTCTCGCGCCTGGAAGAGCGAACGGGAACATACCAGGGAGAAAGGGCATCCCCCCGTTCTGTTGGCACATGGCCATGACCTGGCCAAAGCCCTGGATGGCTTGTAGGTTGGCTGGGTCATTCATGAACTGAGTCATGCTTGGTGGGAACGTGACCCTTAGTCCAGCGGAAGGGACGGGGGTCGTGAACGGGCTGATCACGCTAGGCGTTGGGGCAGAGCTCAGACCCAAAGGTAACGCTGGGGCCGAAATGACCGGTATGGTAGCAGCCACAGGGATGCCGCTACCTTCATTGGTGGCTTGCACCTGAGCGGAAGTAGCATTGATTTGTTGGCTTGAAGACATTTTGAGTGGTGTTTTTGTGGGTAGGTTTGTGTTTAGAAGAGAAGAAACCTTAACGGTCCCACGGTTGGCGCCAAAAATGATGGTGTAAATTACTTGACCGGTCAAACTATACTAGACCGGGTCTAGTATAGTTTGCTTGATTTGGTAAAGTAAGAAAGGTAAAAACACGCAAATTGACCGGTAGGACTTTACGTGGAACACCTGTAGCCCAATTTATATTATAACGGAGAATAAACGGGTGCTTTTACAAGGGAGTTTAGAGAGAATGAATTCGGATCCCTCTTTCTGAGGTTTACATGAGTATTTATACTAGGCTAAGGGGGACAGGACCACGTGCGCCCACGTGGGGGCACGCTGCTGATGTGGTGCGAGGTTACTGGTTTTGTCCTCGAGCAGCCTTGTCGCCTTGTGAGGGGAATTACTTCTCTTGTCGCGTTCTGGCTTGGAAACATTCCTTCAGCATCTCCAGTTGTCCTCCACTAACATAGGTCGCTACACGCCAAGCCCTTTTAGATTCTCTTCTGCCGACACTTTCCAATCCTAGAAACTACACCGGGTAATCTCCGAGGGATGAAATAATCAAAGTTAGGGAAAAATATGGTGACAAAGTAGTTTGACCGGTATGCTTTTTCGTGAAGTATACCGGTCATCTTTGGGCCGATGACATATCAATTTGCCGATGATTTAAGTCTCCCTTCCAAAACTTTCGAGATTGACCGGTCAACTAATTGGTCTTCTCCTTTGACCGGTCATGGGTGGAATACACCCATCAGTTACTGATTTCGAATTTGGGTTCCACCAGTTAGACAAACAATTGAGAGAAGAGTGATAATTTCAGTTTTGGGTTCAAAGCTTCAAACTCGGCAACGAGTTTGAGAAGAGTGTGAGGGGAGAGAGGAAGCTTAATTGAGGAGAAAAAGAAGTGTAAATTTACAATTTTATCCACGTTCTTAGCGGAAATATTTACAAACG